ATAAAATATATTTTAAAAAATTACATAACAAATCAATAAATGCCATTTTGCCAGACTCTAGTTCTAAATAATTTTTTATAATCTAGTTTTGTAATCATTTTTATAAGAATCAATTTGTCACAATTATCCAATATTCTCATATTTTTAAAATAAAATGAGGTGTAATTATGCTTGAATATTTCAAAAGGGAACATAACTGTGAATTTGCACACTATCTACATAAATCAAGAAACATATCTTTCAAAATAAACACAACTTTAAATAGTAAATGTGAGAAAATATTGTTAATTACAAAATACTTTCTAAACCAGAATCATGTACTACAAAGAAATGTATTATAAATAGAAATGATATATATATATATCATTATTATCAATAGAATATATGAAGGTAAGACTAACATATTTTCAAAAAATAGTCCTTCAGACCAAGAAATAAATCTACTCTAGATTTAGTCTATTGCTTATAAAAAGTTAAATATATCTGAATGCATATAAGTAAAGTTTTTTAAAGTTTTAAATAATTTTTTATTTTTCAATTACAGTTTATATACACTATTATATTATTTTTAGGTATATATCCCAGTAATTAGACATTATATTACTTACTAAGTGACCATCCTAACAAATCTTGCACCCATATGACACCATACATTGGTCTAAGAATATTACTGACTATGTTCCCTATGCTGTACTTTACATCTTATGACTATTCTGTAACAACCAATTTGTACTTCTTAATCCCTTCACATTTTCCACTCATCCCCCCAATCCACCTCCCGTCTTCATTTGGACAGTCTACAATGCATGCTATATAATAAAAACAAAACAATAGAAGTGAACAAAACAAACAGAAAAAAAGTTAACTTCTGAACTCCATATTGTGTAAAATTAAATAAAAACACTCAAGACCTGCTAGTTTATTATAGATAACTTATTTTATATATGGGTATACTTTAGCATATTTACTTAAAATAATATAAGAAATCACATATAGTACAAGAGTAATTATATGAAAGTATATAAAAATAACTTTTCCTTATTTTGCCAATACATAATTTAACTCTCTAGAATATTTTGGGTGTAAAGACTTCCAAATTCACCATAATGCATCACAAAACTTTAACGTTGCTCCAAGAAATCTTCTAGAGCAAAATCAAACAATCCTTGCACTGTAAGAACATGTCTTTGGTGAGGCTTTCCATGAGTCCTTAGCAGTCAGTGGATTCAGTCACAGTAAATTAGACATTATTTTGAGACATTTTTGTAGAAAAAAATAAATATTTTATTTTCCCCCAATTTCCATTAAGCTGCTCTGGCTTTGTGTCAGTTGCGTAATTGAGTGGGGATGAATTCTAGCTCCTACCTTCTCAGATATCTTTGTCTGTACATCTGTGTGCCGACTTCTGGACGGCATTGTCTGTTTCTCAGCTGTGAGACATGCTCTAGTTTGTTTTTCATCATAAAAATTCTTATAACACGACTGTTGTTATTTTCTCTGCTCACCTTCATAGCAAAGCTTCTTGAAAGCACTAAATAAACATGGCGTCTCCATTTTCTAACCTCACACACAATCCTGAGATTATTCCTCCTTTATTTCCCAGCGACTTCAGCAAAGCTGGATGTGATAAGGACAATTCATATTTTATTAACTTTAATTGACCTCTCAGCAGAATTTGAATGGACAAATGTGATTTATATCTCTCCTTCTTGAAATATGACTCTAAGTTAACTTCCAGGATACTACTCTTGTGTCATTGCAGAAATTCTATCTTAGTCTCATGGGAGGGGTGGTCCTGTCGTTTCCTCTTCCTGTATAATATTATGGTTTCCTAGGATGCAGTTCTTAACCCTCTGTCCTTCGGAATCTCAAGAGGCACTCCTTGACCATATATGCTGTGCCAGTCACCTTTCTAGATGCCAGGGGAGACATCTCTAAGTATCGCAGACATAAATTCCTTTTCATGGGCATTACTGTGTTTGGTTTTAACCTCAGCCAGGCTTCAAATTCCATTCCCCTGGTGAAACTGACAGCATTGTAGTATACGTTTCCAAAGCATGGATCTTTTCATCGCCATACACACGTAGCTAACTACTACTTGGCAGTGAAAACTTAAGGAATACCAAGCTAATTTTATGTTAATCTTCATTCTCCAAATCCCCAATTCTTTGTCCTCAGAAATGATGCCAGGAATGGCCCAATTGACCAAGCAAGACACTAAAAATCAGCAGTACCTACTGAATCTGATTTGTTACACAAGCAGGGTTAGTCTACATCTACAATGTGACTGGGATTAATTCATTGTTTTATTTTTCTACTCCTAATACTTTCATTTTTCAAGTATTGCTGTTCACCCATATTGCTTTTACATATATGAGCAAGTTAATCTGTTTATAATGCCTAGCTATTCATATAACTTTCCTGTTTCAAGTAATTTCTTACTGGTTTTTGGAGTTGCTTTAAAATAATTTATACCGTTATAGAAAACCTTGGATTTCCTGGGTTGCAGGTTCTTCTCTATCTTTATCTTTATTCACACACCTCCAGGTTCCCCTCCTGCCATGCTTTTTCTAGTTCCTAAAGCAGATCAATTTCTTCCTTCTCTTGGAGATTTCTTCCATATAAAACACTTTCCCTGGAAGCTTTATTCTCTACAAGATTTTTTGGGGGCATTTTCTAAGGGAACTTTTCCCTAACCCCCATCCTACATGCATATGTTAGATGCCCTAGTCCAACCCCTTCAAGGCATCACACTGCATCAGCTCAGCTCTTAGCTGTACTTACTTGGTGGTTATTCTAAATTTTGTTTAATATCTATCTTCCCTACTAGATTGTAAAGTCTTTGTAGGCAGGGGCTAGTTCTGTATTCACAGATTATTCTTCTATACTCATCTCAGTACTTGTTACAAAGCAAGACCCCATTAAATAATTGGAATGAGTGAATGAATCAATGAATCTTAACATTGCAGAGCCAGAAGAAACTAGCTTAGATATGAGAAAATGCATATCAAGGAAGTTAAGTGACAAGAGCAAAACTGAAACTATAAACCAGAATTCTGTCCATTTTCTTTGTTGGTACTGCCCACAAGATTCTTAGAAATTGAAACAAACACACAAAAAGTGCTTTGATAGTAAATATATCATAGAATACCTTACCTATTTTTGTGCCTTTACATACACTTTATTTATTAACTACCTTTTTGTCTACACCTAATGTTAATTTTCATTAACTATTTTTTTATAAAAATAGTTGGGTCTCTGAGCGTATAACATAAAGTAACCTGCCTGGAATTGATAATTTTACAGTTTGTGTTTTATCTATAAAATGTTATTAAAATGTTGACTTCATCATAAAACATTAATTTTTACCCTGATAAAAATAATTATTTCCTTTAAACATATGAGCTACATTAAAGATTTAGGAGGATGGAGTACATTCTTTCAATCTCCCTTTGCTGACTCACATAGAGAATCACATTATATCAGATTCTTGATATCTGCATAGTGGACAATTACTAGCAACATAACAAATTATAATTTTAGAGGCCATTATTGATGTTTCAAACTCACGGGGGCAATGACCTCGATAGTACATTCAACCATTCTTCTTATTTAGGTGAACCACTTAAAAGGGCATTAGATTTGTCATATGACTTAAAGTAGCTCTGATTTGAACAGATCCTTTAACTTTTCAAAATTATTCCGGTAAAATAAGGGTAACTCTTCATTGTTAAACTCAGATTAAAATGAGATAATACATGCAGAAGTACTTTTAAAATGCCATTACAATATGAGATAACCATACAATTTCTGGTGCTCCCAGCATCCTAATTTCAAATTATAATAGGAAGCACTTATTAATTAATATAAACAATAGAAAGTCATAATATCAATTATTTTTAAACCATATAACTAATAGTAATTAGTTTTTAATAGACAGATTAATTATATAAAGCTGCTCTCAACTTTACAAAGCTGATGCACATCTCAAAATCATAATAATGAGATTAATATCAATTTGAAATTATAAATTATAAGAGGGTTAAGTAGCATAACTGAACTGACAAATTTTATTTTTTTCCAGTCTAAAAGTGTTATGTAACAATACTGATACTCAATTATAATATGACTTAATTAAGCCATGCCTATGAATATGCTGCTCTCAGCTCTCTATGTATATATAAAGAATACATATATTTATACATATGTATGAAAATTACCAGTAAATATTAAATATGATATTTAAAGGTGCAATAAATGTTAAAATACATCCAATATGACAACTCACTAACAGTTAAACATGTCTACAAATCAAGATTTAAAAAAATCTTGCATCTTTATCTCTCATGCATCTGAGAAATATTTTCATATCCCTGCCATGGATTTTGATAATAGCGCTGGCACGGGGTGACATAAGCAATGCTACCTAACAGGGGTAGAACCCACTAGTGTGCTGTGCACAGTGTCCTGCCATGTTGTGCATCTCCGTGAAACACTAGCCACATTTCTTTCTGGGACTCTGTCTGTGGGTGTTTCTGCTTCACTGTGTAATTGAGTTTATGTTTCCAAAATCAACCTGCTTGGTCAGGCATGGAAGAGGTGGTCATTATTTTTGGCCACATCTTCCCAGAAGTGGAGGTCTAGACTCCATGTGTTTGGCAGAGAAGTTGTCTCCTTTGCAAAGTTTCTGATCTCAACAGAAATGTTTCATGTTATATTCAACAGTCCCTTTGACCTCCCATCCTGTCCTCTGCTCATTCTTCCTCCACCACGTTAACCATTAAAGTTACCAAAATATATTTATAAATTAACCAACTCACCATAGCAAGAGTGATTGAGGACTCTTGAGTAAGACATGTCACACTAATCATTATTGGGACTTACAATTGGTACTTCTTTTTATAAAAATTATGTTTTCAAGAATAAGAAACAATCCAGAGGAATTATAAAGATGATATCATGTTTATTTTCAGCCTAAGAAAGCATATAGTTTTGCTTACCTTTAATAATGTTGGGCTTTGGTGGCATGCTGAACTCATAGACTGTCGGTTCAGAATATCCCAATCTGTTGGCCGCTGTAATTTGAACCTCATACCCCATTGTCCACTGTAGATGCTCCAAAATAATATGGTCTTTATTTCCCTGCACTTTTTTCTCTAGCCACTGGTCTTCTTTATCTTTCTGTAAAGGCAATAAAAATTGATTTTGTAAATACCCACACACTAAAATTGAGAATTTAAAAAAATTATCTTGAGATGGAAATGGTGGTTTTATTAATATCAAGAAAAGAAATTTTCTCATCCACGGGATAAATGAAGTTGCTATAATCAACAAACTTAACATTTTTATAATAAGACTTTTCTATAAAAATGTTAAGTTTATATATCAGCCAAATAGTGACGATTTCATAATTAGTGGATGATAATTTACTTCCACTAAGATTTTTTAAAAAATATCATATCTATCAGTTTGCTATCTGTCCACTTTGTTGATTATTAATAATCATGTGAACGGGAAAAATGAAATATGATACATAGAAAGAGCCTAATATATCCATTAAAGTAATTGCCAGAGAGTATTGTTTACTTTGTGTGTGTGTGTGTGTGGGTGGGGTGGTGGTGATAAAATGTCTTGGAAATTAAGTTTGAGTATTTTTATAGATTTAAATTACCACAAGCATTTTTATTACTATAATATTTTAGATTTATAATGAAACAACATGTAAGAAAATTATTATTTTAAAGAGGTTATTAGCATAAAAATAAAAAAATGTTTTCCCATTCTTGAATTCTACACTTAAATCCTATCTCTTTTCTAAAATAAATGTTTTAAACCATATATTTGAATTACATTTTATTAAAAAAAATACTGTGACTGCAATTAACATAGAAAAATAAATCAACATATTTTTTATGAATGAAACTATCTTAAATAGTGTGAACATTCAGCCATGCTGTTAACCATTTAGACACAGGCAACTTCCTCAACCTCTCTGCCCTGTTTCCCTTTCTCTATTACAGAAACGATGACGGCAGCTGCCCTGTGGGCTTGCGTGAGGGAGCAATGAGAAAAAGCGATTAAATTCTGTATTCCAAGACCTTAGGTTTCCTAATTACTTAATAAATGACAGCTATTTTTAAGGAAAAACTATTTCCATAATAACTATATGGAAATGAAATAGTATTCTCTGTGGAGTCATGTATCTAATAATTTTTCTCTGCAATTGCAAATCTCAATTTCCCAGAGGGCTAATTATAGATAAATTGTAGCCTGGTCCTAGAGATAGATAGATAGTTCAATCTTTTTAACCTTAGAGCTCAGCTAAGCATTACTTTATGTTGAGCTAATATTTTACAATGTTTTTGGGCTATAAGGAATAACGATGTTTTTGCATTTATGTTTAAAACAGAAAATGTATTGTTTAAAATAAAATTTGGGAGGTTCGATTCGTGATTGCATTAAATTGGTGGTACTATCAACATAAAGTGTCCTTCAAAAGAAGATGAGCATACATTGTAGTTTTGATACAGTACTATTATTTTTTTTCCTAATTATTTTTCGTTACATGCACTTTTATTACAAAGGAAAGTGTTTGGACTTGTTTTTGTTATTTTTTCTAAACCTGAAGATTTTAACACTCCTAATGAAGCCATGGGCTTCGGATAAGTACTTAAAGTTATCATCTTAACAGGAAGCATTTCCCTTGCTTTCTGAAACTGACAAACATATGAATTTGTTAGGCTGGACACTGTCCAATATTTAGTGTTATAAGGTGTTATGAGGCCCGCTCCCCTAGCCTTCAGCACACTGTTGTCTGTGTCCATGGGCTCTTCCTGAAAAATCTATTAGAAAACTGAAACAATTTGGGCCAGAAATGTTAACTTGCCTAAGTCACTAAATGATTAGTAAAGTTAAGGAAGGAACCTAGGTGTGCATTTGAAATGCTTAGGACAGCTATACCAAACAGCCACCATTCCCCCAATATCCCCTTTCTACATCAATTATTCTTTCAGCCCCTAGAGAGTATGTTCTAGACCTCTGAACACAATAGTGAATAAGACATGTGCAATGCCCTCATCTTGGAGTTTACAAACCAGAACAGAAAAAAATAAGTTCTTTGAAAAAACAGAGGGTACTTCAGAAGCATGTAACAAAAAGGCCGATAGAGTTCAAGAGCCAGGAATGTCTCCATAGAAGGAAGAGATGGCGCCCTTATTAGAAATAAACTCCAGCGCTATTATCTTTTTTTACTAGAGGCCTGGTGCACGGATTTGTGCACCAGTGGGATCCCTGGGCCTGGCCTGCACCCTCTCGCAATCCGGGACCCCTTGGGGGATGTTGAAGAGCTGGTTTCAGCCTGATCCCCATAGGCCAGGCCGAGGGACCTCACTGGTGCACAAATCTGTGCAGCAGGTCTCTAGTATGCATGATCTTTGGTTAATCTCTTCCTGCCCTCCCCTCTCCCCCCTTCCCTCTGAGATTCATCAGTCTGTTCCATATTTCCATGCCTGTGCATTGAGCGTCTTCCCCCTGGTGGTCATTGCATGTCATAGCTACCGGTTGGCTGGTCGGCTGGTCAGCCAGTTGGCTGGTTGCTTAGGCTTTTATATATATAGATTGTTGACACTAATACAGATTTCCTCCATTCCCCCCGCCCTTTCCCACCTTCACCCAGCCCCTTCCCTTCCTACCCTGGCCTTCACCACACTGTTGTCTGTGTCCATGGGCTAGTCATGTCTTTTGTCTAATCTTTTTACCTTCTTTTATCCAGACCCTCCCACACCCCTTCCCTCTGACCTACATATCTCTGCCTCTAGTTCTATTTTGTTCGTCAGTTTATTTTGCTCATTAGATTCCACATATAAGTGAGATCATATGGTATTTGTCTTTCTCTGACTGGCTTATATGCTTAGCAGAATAAACTCCATGTCCAGCGCTGTTCTTCTTTTCATTTGTCCTAAGCTAATTAATGAAAAGAAGATGTGATTCCTTCCTAGAGGGTTAGATCCAAGAATAAGCACAATGCTAGAAAACCTCAGAAGGATGCACAACCACTGGGAGATGTAAAAACTGAGACTGAATCACCTTTTTAAAGTAAATGTTAAAAAACATTCATAGCTATTGACCAACAACCAAAAGCTTAAAAAATCTTCCATCCAAAAAGTAATTATAGATAATAGATGAAATAATATATTATATAGACATAGGAATATATAGCATATATATAAACACAAAAATACATATAGCATGCAATTATTGGATATGTTATATATTGTATATACATAGATACAGGAAGGGGGGATGAGGAGCAAGAAGAACAAAGGGTTAGATAAGGTTTAGGGCTACAGAAAAGAGGTGGAGAGCTGCCACTTCAGACTTTCCCACTCCCCCGTAATTCATAAACTCTATGTAACTGTGAAGTTCTGGGTGAGAGAAATATTTCTGTGGAAGTTCAGAGTTGAGTTTTGCTTTGAATCTGAGTGGAGATGTGGGTGAAAGAGTGAAAAAATATAAGCCACTGTGTCAACCCAGGATAGGATTTATTCTAAAGAGGGATGGATAGGCCACCTCTCCTTTAGGTAATCTTCCATAAATAATGTTTCTGAGAACTGATCATATATATATATATATATATATATATATATATATATATATATATTGATTTCAGAGAGGAAGGGAAAGGAAGTGAGAGATAGAAACATCAATGATGAGAGAGATTCATTTATTGTCTGCCTCCTGCATGCCTCACACTAAGGATCAAGCCCACAACCCAGGCATGTGACCTGACCAGTAATGGAACTGTGACCTTCTGGTCCGTAGGTTAATGCTCAACCACTGAGCCATGCCGGGTGAGAACTGATCATTTGAGGTGAAACTTCCTGATAAGCACATGACACATAGACAATCTCTTCTGAATTACCCATCATTTAACTCTTAATTGTTGAAGCTCCCAGCATGATACATTAAAAGCCCCTCATCATTTTAGATAGTTTGAACTGATGTAAGGAGCAGAGAAAGTTCTAATATTTTCCCCAATTCAAAACAATTTTATTTCCCATTCAACATTAGACAAGGAGGCTTTTTAATCCCCTAATTGCTATTCCTAGGGAATAGGAAAAAAAAATTAAAGTGGGTGTTACCAAATACTCCCCTAGGCATCAAAATCTCAATTATGCCATTTGTAGAGTGCCTAATTTACAGAATTTAAATGCCTAGGGAGCAATTTAAGACAATCTAGTTGCAAAATGTTCCCCTAGGTATCTTAATGAGATGATTTGCTGAATAGGGCCATTATTAATAAGCCAATTAAATGTTGAAGGGCAGCTACTGAAAGAAAAATGGTCACCTGGCTTTGATATAGCTTATCTTAAGCAATCCACTTTGTCAGATAATAGATAGTGGGGCCATATGACAATCAAGGGCACTCAATAATTCTTTTCTGAAAACAAAATGTCAGCATATAGGAAAAAATTCATTATCATTGGGATAGGAAGAGAGCAGAGGACAGGTGGAAAGGGTCTTGGTATTCTTATTTATAGAGGGCTTCTTAATTGCTTTTATTCCACTAACTTTTTCCCCCAAAGCCTTATGGGATAAATGGTCAACATCATTTTAAATGACAAGGGAATCATTATTAAAAGAGAGAAGAACAGAGGAGGTGAGCTCACACTACTAGATGAATGTTAAAGTTCATGGGACTCTCCTGTGTTATGATTTAAGAATTTTGATTCCATGTAAGAGAGTTCCTAGTTCCTGGATTTCCTGGTAGCATGGCTCAGCTATTCACTACCGATGTGACCTTACAGAAGGCCCCAGAATTCTCAAAAGTTCTGTGTACTACTCTGAATACAAGAAAATGATGCAGTAACACACACACACACGCACACACACACACACACACACACTCCACTGTGATTTGGAAAGATGTAAGATTTGTAGGTTTTTAGTAGTTTCAAATTCAATACTCTTTCTCCTATGGTCATAACTGATTCAAATTGCCTTGATTCCATGTAAAAAAATATAAAGTGGACCTTAAATCTTTTGCTAGTCTCTACCACCCACATACTTCATTAGAGAAAAAAACTGAATTTTTCCTATTCATAATCTTCTGTGTTCTCACAGCCCATACCAGTTTACACAGTGCAAGTTTTCCCCCTTGGCTTCACCATTTCTCATATTTA